AAATTTTATACAATTCTCACATCATGTAAAATAGAATTGCTCTTATTTTTATACTTGCCAAACTCTCATATTCTTACTAAAATGAAAATTTCCCTATGCTTTTTTAAGAGAGAAAGAGAGAGGTTTCCACTCATTTTCCACTCTTACATTTGAGATATTTTGAAGAAATAAATCTGGTTAACAATGAATGAATCGTTTTTTGCTTACATTTATTTCTATTTAACTTTAAAAAAAAAAAAAAAATTTTTTTTCATCAGTAATGTAACCAATGAAGAAAATAAATGAGTAATTATGATTAAACCTGTTAGTTTTCTTTCAAAAACTAATATTAAATTATATCTAATAATATAACATTCAAATCTACTTTTTACTTGCAAAAAAAAAAAAAAAAAAAGACAAGGAAAAAACAAAAAAACAAAAACAAAAACAAACATCTGTAGTGATTGTTGGTATTTTTTTTTACTCCTCATTATCATTATTAAATCAAAATAATACAATTTATAATTATTACTGGTATAATTATTTAAATATTGAAATATTTAAATGTTTATTACTTTTTATATATACTTTATTACTCTACTGTAATATGTTAGTAATGTAACTTAATTAAATCAAATGATATGATATATACTTTTACATTCCCTAAATTTGTCCCAAATGGAGAATAGAAGAACTAAAAAAATGTTGCTAAAACGTCGCATGAAATAGCGTGTACATACACATACACTTACATACAGTCACATACACATACACTACATACACACACACACATACATAAATAGATAATATATACATATCAGCACAATCGTTTGCAAGCGACACCATCAGTTACTACTACCACCACTACCAGTAACTGCCATCACTATCAGCATCAAAAGAACTACAAAAACAATGACAGAGCTGCCCGGCTGTCCTGATGATCAAAAAATGGACTACTCATTCACTTACATACACATACACATACATACATACATACAAACATACATAGACATACATAAATAAATATGTGTACATAAAGATTAGTTTAAAAACTGTTCATTATATATAACAACAAAGTATATATTTCTCATTCTACAATAGTGATAAGGAAAGAAATGAAAAGATAATTAAGATAAAATATTTGAACAATGTTGCAAAAAGACATTTATATCTTTTAATTCGATTCTTATTATCATTTTTTTTTATCTTTTCTTTTTTCTTTCTATTTTTGGAATAAAATTTATATTTGCCATATATAAAGTCAAATCTAAACTAATCAAGTGATTTGATTGAAAATTCAACTTAGCTTACATTTTCAAATTTAACAATTTGTATAGCTATTATCTTTTTTTTTTTTTTTTTTTTTTTTAAATAAATTTGCATTTTGTGCTTTCTTGTTGAAGAAAATTTGAAATGCTATACCAAAATGTTAGACAAAATTAGAAAAGTTAAAATGAGAAAAGAAAGTGTAATGCTTTCTCATTTTACACGATTTTATCCATAATAAACTATCATCTTGGCTCATATTCAGATAAGTCTTCTTTTTTTTTCCTGAAACTATTCAGACATTCTTGTCCGGAATGTACTTTTCCTATCTGTTAATGATATTCTTTATAAGTAGTTATTGCGAATAATCCTACTTTAATTGATTGTTCAGTCTGATCAAATATTTGTATTATGTAAAACTTCTGCATGACTCATGCATGCATGACATATATGAATATCATATGATAAAAATGATTAAATGCTTATTTATTCCATTTAATGAAACAAGTTTTGAAGTGTAACATCCAACATTTACATTCATGCGATCATCTGAGTACGATATGAATCATCACTAACCTTTTTCATTCTGAAGAACTGGACCAATTTTAATAAAATTTTATCAAATTATAGTGTAAAATTGAACAGTACTAATCAGGCTATGACGATGTAAACAAAAATATATGTTTGGGAAGCATAAAGCATACATAAAATAATAGTAATTTAGTTCATTAATTAAATATATTTCATTAAATAAAATGTTTCTATTATGTATCATTATAAGTAAACGGAATTTCATAGATGAAAAGCTTCTTCTCTCATGAATAGTTTATAAAAAAACAAAAAAAAAAGAAATCCTAATTATACCATTTTCTATAATCATTTTTGAAAATCAAATACAAAGTTTTTATGATTTCAGTCAATAAACCGAAAAAAAAAAAAGGAATAAAAAATAATGATAAAGTTATGAACCTTCTATGAGATTGACCGAAATATCGTTCCTCATCTTCATCCGCACTGCTATTATTGTTACCTTTAGTTTTCATTACTGTGACAACATCGCTCGTACTTCCCAGATGCGCTACATATTCATCCTTCATTCTTTTTTCCTTTTTTTTGCTCTCCTCGTACTAAACAAGAAGAAATCAATAACTTGAAAATTTTACCAATTATAATCATTCGTAAAAATGAAAGAAAAACATACTTAAAGTATTTAAAAAAAAAATTGAAAAAGAAAAATATACTTAATATACGTAATGAATATTTTACAGATTAATTTAAATAGAAATTTTCTCAAATTTTCTAGGTAAATTGTGAAAAATATTTGCAATTATGGTTACGCTGAAAGATTTATACAATTAAAAAAATACAATTAAAAATTTGTATAAATCTTTCAGCGTGATTAATCTAATAATAATTTTAAACAAATGATTAATGTAACAGGGAGTGAAGCATGATCATTTCAAAGTTTATTTTTGATTTAAAAAAAGATTTGCATTTTCTTACGCATCAAAACCAAACTTTAATCACTTCAAGAATTGTTATCTTCTAATATTACATGTATTTGATGAACTGAGTGCTAAATTGATTACTAATCAGTTTTATATTATATTTTGAACTCTTTCATCCTTTAAATTTGTTATCATTTAAAATGCTTATCATTACAGTAATTGCTGTACGCTTACACTAATAACTCAATCCAATGCAAAATATGTAATTAACCTAAAAATTCTTGCAAGATAAGAATACCTAACTAATCAATCTTATTCGAATCATTCAAATGAAAAATATAATTTAACTTTCCATTATTCTTAATAAAAATCTGATCTTATCAAATTTTCCAAAATTTTGAAAAGAAAATTTTTGATTCTTTTTTTTCTTTTTTTTGAAAAATCTTCAAAACAAACGTAAATTTGCTGCTATGAATAAAACATTAAATTCTAAAAACTATTCCAAAAGCATTAAAATTGAGAATGTATGTGTATGTGTGTGTATGTGTGCATATGTGCGTGTATGTATGTGTATGTGTGTATGTATATGTATGTGTGTGAAACCGATAAAAATGACAAGAAGGGAAATGTAGTAAAAAAAGGATGCTGAGATACATAGAGCGCCCGAGAGAATTTCTATTAAAATTGGAGTGAGGCCACGATGATTGTATGCCATTCATCCACCCATCCATCTACTGTCTATGGATGGGATGGTGCTATTCCTCTTCCCATGCGGTGGTGCCATTACCGCCGTTCCACTCGTCCCTTCAGCTGATCGCCAGCAGACGGCACCACCCTCCCAGCTGTCACAGACATACACACTTTAGTATTTCATCAACAAAAAAAAAGTGCCAAATAACATTTGGTTTAATCTCGTCCAATGTATGTATGTGTGTATGTATGTATGTGCGTGTATGTGTATGCGCTTCTATCTACAACTAATGTGCCATTATCATGTCAGTGTAATATAGAGTAATGTATAAGAGATTTCATGAAGGAAAAAAAAGAATAGGAATAATACCTGTAATTCATTGCTATTACTACTACTGTTAGAGATACTATCACAGTGCTTATTACTACACCAGTAATTAAGAATAAGCTAATTATTTAGTTGAAGAAAATAAAGTGTCACAAACATAACAGATGAAATGCTATCATATCAGTTGGATTATTGATAGTTATATTCCTTATCATCGTATCATTTATGTATTACTGTATTATAATACATTATGATAATTGCAAATGCATAATTTACTTGCTTCAGATTTATATTGAGAAATTGCTGTTCAATTGTTCCATATTATAAATCAATAAATTATACATCTGAAAAAGCAAATTATCAATTAATGATATTAATGATCATTTACGAAGAATTAGAGAAATAAATTTTTGTATGCAAACTTTAACTTCACTTAATTATGTGTGAATATTTTGATCTTTATGCATGGACCAAAAATAAATGCATCCTTACCCCTTAGCAATGCCTTCTGGTAACAATTCACTCAGCCTAATTTGTTATCAGTACATTCTCATTAATCCAATTATATCCATCAAAAATAGCTAGGAAATTTTAACTCTGATAAATCTGTTTATTCCATCCTACAGTTACAGTACAAAAATTTGAAACAGATGAAGATGAATACGGAAGAAAATTCAGATAGAAGCTGTTAAAATCTGAAAACTGGCAATGAAATGTTCAATAAATTCCAAGAAACAGAAAGTACTTGAAGTGCTTCTAAATATTTCGTCGCTTATGTTCATATATTTTCTTTCTTGCACAAATAATTTCAGATAAGTTTACTCCAGCATTTGTTCCATTCTGTACATATCGTTTCGTTATAAACAAAGTAGAAACAATTTTTTATAAAAAAAAAAACACTTTCCCATTTTATCATACATGATGGTCTTTACTTGTCAACCAGTTTTTTAATCACTCAGTACTCTCTGAATTTTCTTCCGGTTGTGTTGCATTATAACTGCACATATAATAATGTATAATTTCCTCCTCTTCTCAAAAAAGGCAAACAGATATCAATCATTAAGCCATAGCATCTAATTCAACCGATGCTTAAGTTCAGTTAGATAACTCAACTACATTATACTGATAGTAACCGAAATAAAACGAACGCTAATAACGCTAATGTTGAATTAGATAAATCTATAAAAAGCTTTATGTCGCAAAATAAAAAGATCACATTTAATTTGTTGAAACAACAGTGAACATACAAAAATTACAGTAATAAAATCACCGGAATCAAAAATTAGCCATCAAAGTTGTTGAGTTGAATTACCATTCCACCTGGCTTCATCATCTGATTGTGAAGAATCCTCGTCGTTACGAAATCTCCGAAAGTTACCTTCCTAAATTGATTTCTTATATTTTAGTTTTATAACATGAATTTATAATAAACCTCAGATGAAAATGAAGATCTTAAACCGCATTCAGTAAATTTATTCTTACATGTCTAACGTGATCTCGGCGATGTTCATCACTTTGTTTCGCTTTGTGAACTTTGCTCGGTATAGTGATAGGATTGCTGGGTTCAGTTGTACCGTCCAGTGACGAAGTAGGACCTTTATAACCAACTATATAAAGTAGAATACGATATAAAGCTTGAAATGGAGCAGCAATAGCATAATGAAGTAATCCGATCCACCTGGAACCACCATATGCAGCCACTGCTCGCTTACGTTTCTAAAGCATCAATTTACTAAAGTTCAGTGAAGCAGCTAAAAAGAAAAAAAAATCCACTCAAATTCAGGACAATTAAAGTACTCATGTAACACCGAGAAGTGAATAGAAGAAAATCAGCTTAAAATCAGAATGAAATTTTACATATCAAGATGAAATTTTTTTCACTCTATACCATTCCATCCAAAAGTTACAAAAACATTACTGCCAAAAAGCAAAGGCGGTAGTAATTTTTTAAGTGTTTTTAAAATTTGATACTCGTGATGACACTTTTTTGTCTATAAACAATAACAAAAAATACACTTAATGCGGAATATAAATTTACTGAAAGTACGAGAACAGTTGCGGATGGCGTTAAACCCAGTTCAGCAAATGTTTTTGTGATATCAGGAAACTCTCGCCTTGGATACATTTGCACTATATAAAAATCATCACCTTCACGTCCATCCTAAAATAAAAAATACGAAAAATCAACTCAAAATACAAAATTCATTCGAGATTAAATTATGAAAAATTAAAGCATTACAAAAAAAAAAAAGTATAGAAGTACTCAACTACTTCAGAGATGAACAATATTATACCTTCTTGATTATTTCTACAAGCTGGGAAAAGATGTCTGTGGAAGCAAACTGATGTACCAAAGTAGAGCCATCGGAAAATTTGCACTGAATGCGGCATCCAGCACTTGAAATTCAAACATATGTGAAAAAAAACATAAGAGGAAATTAACAGGAAATAGGATCCTATGACAAATCACGTAAATGTCCACTACGGCACTTAGTGAAAAGCATTTTACGAAGCCAGAATTCATTTACATGCTTGGTACTGACTGCTAAATACGATCATAAATAGTAAATGATAAAAAGAAACACCGTATTAACAATTTTACTTTGTTCATTTACCAACATAGAAAAATACCTGTCTGAAACTGAAGACTGCTTATTAATCTGATGATCTGCAGACTTTGCTTTATGCTCTTGGTCCTTAACATTACCTAATATTCCATTCATCCGTTCTTCTCTAAAAATATTCAAATAAACTTCGTGCTAGATAATTATTTAAATACTTCATTATAATTTTCAAAATGAAAATTTCATTTGTTTTCCTAAGTTATTCCACATACTTACTTGTCTGCCTTAATCTGCTGACGAATTTTCTCCAGGTAAGCTTCTTGTTCACGTTTTTCGCGGTTCCTCTGCTCCATTATGTCTCGCCTCTCGCGTTCCTCACGTGATGCCTTTAATATATAAGAATATAATTTGTTATTACATATATATTGCAAAATAACTAAAGACACTGCTGAGGCTAAAATAAACTTTCTTAAACTTGAATGAGCACTACAAAATTACGAAGAAATACATGCAAAAACAAAACTCGCGCCTGGTACTAACTTTGGATTCTTCCATTGATTTACTCAAATTTCTTCTTTCGACCTCTTTTTCATTCTCTTCCTTTTTTTTCATAATTGCGTCTTCTTCACGTTTCTTTTCAAGTAATTTATGCGCTCTAAAAAAAACCTAAAGTTTCAGAAACAAATACAAATAAATAAAATGGATCATCTTCTATAAAAGAAAGCCACATTTTAAAAGTCCTTATAGATACTTCACGCAAGTAAATCAAAAATAAGTTTTAAATTCATCGAACCAGTTTTAATACCAATGAAAAATTACTTTCTTATCTTTTCATCCATGCTAGCAGTAGTACATTCTTTTCTTTCTGTATTTTCTTTATCTGGATTACTAGTTACAGTTAATGAAGAGGATGAAGACTGATGAGCATCGTTCAAAGTCTGTAAAATTATGAAACATTGAAGTCGATAACAGAATTTTCTAATTTTCATGGATTGCTAACTTCACAATTACAAAGCAGTAAATTGCTCACAATTTATTTTCCTTTTTTTTTTTAAAGTAACTATTGAAAGCAAATAAAAAGAAAAATTAGTGGAAGTAAAGCAAGTAAAATAAAATTAAATTGTAGCAAATATTTGAACAAAGCCTCAATGAGATGACATTTTTTGTGAAAAAAACATGACATCATGAATCATGAAGTGTGATATAAATGTGGGAATTGTTTGAAATGACTTAACAACACTATGTCTTTCAAGAAACCTATAATATATTTTTGAAAATATTTTGAATATGAAAACTACTTGCCTTCATAGCAATCTTAAGTCTTTGTGCAAAGGTTTCTTCAGTCAGTTCTTCAGTGACTGTAATAACATCTAAAGGCTTCCCTTTCAGGTCAATAACATATGATGCTGGTACAACAAATACGGGATCTAAAATAAATTTAGTTACAAATTTCCTCAATGAGATAACATTTTTTGTGAAAAAAAACATGATATTATGAATCATGAAGTGCGATATAAATGTGGAAATTGATTGAAATGACTTAACAATCTATGTCTTTCAAGAAATCTATAAATAATTAATATATATATATATATATATTATAAATAATTAAAGTGAAGTCATGCCGATGTCAAGAAATAAGCATTTCAATAGCAAAAACATTAGGAACATAAATGCAAGAAAAAAAAAAACTAACATATTTGAGCAAACTGCTTTGCCGTTTCGGTTCCTTGAAAAATACGTATGCCAACCAAAGCTGGTTGGCAAATATTGTTATCAATACTATCCCAAAGCTGTGCCATTCGCATACTTTGTTCATCTTTATTCTCTGAAATAGAAAGTGCAATCACAAAACTATTACAATCTAGAATTCCATATCACAACAGCAGATTAATCCAGCCACCAGTAATTATTAATTGTTTAATTTTTTTACGATCTTACCGGACAACTTCGGTACATCATTATTTTAACATGTATATTAATCAATTTCAGCGAATCACATAGCACAATTCATAGAGATCATGAATTTTATAGAAGAAAACATATGCTCACCCAATTATGAAAGAAAACATACGCTATTTTGCTATCATATGTTAATTCCTTTGACAATTTTAATTTCAATATCAAATTAAATATAAAATGATGTTTCGCTTACCTGGCGGTTGCTGAATATTAACGATGAAGAGCGCCTTTTGTTCACGGCTTGTAGCAATTGCTTCACTTATTCTGCCTTCAAACCATTTCATAATTCCTCTTCTCTGCCTACAATGTACTCCTTTTTCACACGTAATAACGATAAATTTAAACGTCGTAAACATATTACGTCGACTTTGTTCATTTTGCATCTGACGTAACAGCAATTAAACCAAGCGTAATAAACGTATCACGTCCACTTTGTATTTGACGTCTCTCATCCAGTTAACTCTCTCTCCAACTTCCCATCATTGATAATACTGTCACACTTAATTAACTGCACAATTAGCTAACTGCTAATCTCTCCCAATCTTCAAATCCAATAGTATTTCCCAAATCTCATTACTCTCTGATACTCCTTGACCACTGTGCTATTCTCCTACATACTCAATTCTTTTCAATCTTTCCGACACTCTCACTATTCAGTTTTTGGAAGACTGGTTTGATAGCGGAGAGATGACTCAATGCAATTATATCGTCTAAGCATATCAATATCGATTTGTGAACTGTCGTGACGTTTGTGTTCTGTGCGCGTGTCACGTACGCGTCATCTGTATGCACGTTGCATCCGTTGATTTTTTCACGTAGAATCTGTGAAAGCTAGTAGCATTTTTAAACACATAATATACTATGAACTAATCTAATAGTTGAATGACGGGTGTGATATTAAAGTATATGTGGAATATATGATATTGTCAAGTGAAAGTTTTCACACAAAATTAAACGTTTGGAGATTTGATGGAGGCCAAATTTCAGAACGATCATGGAAAAGGAAGACATTATGGAAAGACAAGAACAGAAGCCGGTAATGAATAGTGCTCAGTGTGATAAATATAGCGCAGTTGATTTGAGCTTGGAAGAGGTTGAAGAGGAAATCCGTCTTGAGAAAATTCGACAAACATCACTTAAATTTTCATGGGATTATTTGTCACAACTTCTACGTCGAAATCTTATGGTAGGTTTTTTTTGTGACATTTGTCTTTTGCAATTTCGAGACTTCAAACATTTTAGACTTCAGTGACTTTGTTTTTCTAATTATCATATTCTGAAAAGGTATTACAAGTTGCTTATCTCCGTTGCAGTAATTAACTTAAAATTTCATATATTTTCAACTATTAAAGAGATATATTAACTGCCTTGTTTTTTAGTCTTTCACTGTAGTTTTTAGTACCACTTTTCAAGTTCCATTGAAGTTCTTTTAAACGTAATAGATTAAAAAACAAATGATAGTTTGAAGAAATTTGAGAAATTAGGAACTATGATATTTTTTAGGAGAAACGTTTTGTACTCAGTGCTGATGACAAGGAGGATTTGATGCAGGCAGCAGCTGATATGAGAAAATATATGCCATCAGACAGTGACCGTGATCTATCTACACATTTAAGGCATCTTGCTGAAAGCTTGTCGTAAGTGGTACATAGTAAATGGTTATATAAAAGAGTTGTAAAATATCCTAGAAAATACAGTGTGCTTTTTTAGATATTTTTATAGTTATTTACTTCAGAAGTGATTTCCAAGCTCATCCAGGATATTACAAGATTCGAAATGCAGATTTTTCACTTGAAATTACTGTCTCTCTTGACGGGCAACAAATTACCAGTTGTTCAGTATCTTGGTTTGGTGAGCGGGCAGTGGAAGCGCAAGCGCTTCGGCTTTACGTTTCTCGAAACAGATGGGATCTGATCCACACAGCATTGACAGCTATGTTTCATCTTGTTCCATCAGATTTGTCGAGGTACTGTTATGAGTTTCTATCTGTGTTTAATTTCTTGCTTCATGCTTTTGACAGCTATTTTTTCCACTTATCATGAAATGATTATAAATAAACAATGCTATCCTGATATCTTGTTTAATATTTTCTTTATATACTGATATATGATCAAGATTTTGTCAAAATCTAATCAAGTGAAAAATTTTTTTTCAGGGACGAGAAGATATATTGTTTGCGATCACTGGAGTACGCTGAAAAAGATCTACTGAATATGTCTGGAAGTGCTCCATCAATTTTTGAACAAATAAACGGTGGTATTTTGGGTCTCTGTAAGCCACGAACCGAATCAACTCCATTCACCATTTACCCGTTCGTCGAACCTGTGATATTCTTAGATGCTGCTTCGGGTGGTATTATATCTCCTACCGATGAACAAGGTAATTCTGAAAGACTTTTGAGCAAGGTAATTGCTGTATACTGAAAAATCGTGAAGTTGAAAATCCTAAGTTTGACATATTTTGCAAGATGTAACATATATACTGAAATATATTGCTAACTAATAGTACATACAAAATTTTAGTTCAGTAGATTTACCAAACTTCGATTAAGACTTGAGATATTAGAACTGTTTGATTGTTTCTTTTTCAGCTGTGTCCTTAGTTTAGTTTTGAGAAATAGGAATAAATGGTAGGGATTGTTCAATTTGAATCTTTTTTTTTTTATTAGGGTGCATTCTTGATCATCCTTTTAGTGATATCATTCCTGTCATCCTTTTAGTGATATCATTTCTGAGATAGACACCACATCACCATTGATTGTTTCAGTATTGTATGATGTGGAGCCATATCTTCAATTATGTGTTGTTTCGAGTTCAACTCCAAACTTCTTCTCCGATACTACGCTTTTTGCCCAGTATGCATGAATTTTATTTTCTCGTTGACATTTACATGCAGAAATTTTCCATAAAGATTTAATGATTTTAATATTTTTTATAGTGGGGAGTGGCGCAATGCTGTATCAGGCCGTCAGTTACCGGCAGCATTTTGTTTGCGATTTTCAAGACCAATTATATTTTCATCAGCTGCAATCAAAAAGCTTTCTAAAATTGCCTCAGTTCAGTTGAATGTTGAAGGCTCGTATAACTTGTATCAGTATTTGTTGAATGAAAATGAGGTGGGCATCTGTTTCATGTATTTGTTTTGGATAGTTCCATATTTATGGGCATTTTTATGCAACGTTTGCGAAAAGAAAGCAAACACGATAAATTTGCTTTTCCGTTTTTTCGCCACAATTTCTGCATCTGCTTATTTCTGTTGCTGATAGTTAAATTCTTGCAGGAATGTCATGATCTTTTTGTTCGTTTACCAGGCTGTTCGACACAACATTATATTTTTGATGACTCCATGAAGTCTTCGCAGGAAGATGGTATTTTAAGACAGGTGAATTGACTAACATCAATAAGCTTAAGCAGTCAGTGGTTTGTTCGAAAACTGTCTATGAATATTCCTAAAGTTTAAAACGAGTTCAGTTATTGTTAAGATTCAAGTCAAGATTCAAGTATTATATTGTGAGTAACTTTTCTAATCCTTACAGATACCATTTGCTCATTTGCAAGATGTGGTTTTTCTTGTGAGTATCATTCGAACACAACTGGCTCATAATGCCTTCTTCGAGAGTCTTGTGAGAGCACATAGTCGTAGTGCATGTGTTGATGAAAATGTTGTTGATATTCATATTGCATCTTCGTACATCGACTGTTTTGATCTCCAGTTTTATCTGAAAAAGAATTTCTTTATAGGTAATACTTCCGGAAATATCGTTTTTGTGCTGAAATTCTTTCTTTTCAGTAAAGAGAGTTATGCATGTAGAATAATGGGAAGAAAGTATTTATCGCTTTTTAAAAAATTGTGTGGATATTGGGTTAGTGCAAAAAGTTGCTAGGAAGCAGGTAGCTAATAGTCCTGCTGGAATATTGGATGGTAGTAATTTCAAGATTATAATGGGCAGACTAAACGATTCTAAATTGTTTTTAACGCCTGGTTTTTCGAAAAATAAAGAAAAAAATATTTTTAGCACGTGTCGCTGTATCTCCGTCAAATATTAATGTTTCACTAGAATGCGTAATAAATGGAGCGGTACTTCCCGAATCACAGCATGCCACAGCTATTCTTGCAAAGTAAGGCTTGATATTTTTTTTTCTTGCAAAAAATATTACTAGTTTGGAATGGCAGTCATTTCAAAATTTGTACTGAAACCTCGAAAGGTTTTACGCAATATCTGTACATATATGTTTTTTAGGAAGAACTCATTTAATTAATTCAATAAATTATAATTTAATGTTTCTTTTTTCTGCAGAAGTTGGTCGCTGGCAGTAATGATGCGAAGTGTTTTGCGGCGTGGAGGAGCCATTTCGTTGGCTGCGCTTGAAAAACCATTTGTGATGAGCGAAAATGTTGATAATAACTGCGACGTTAAAATATCACAATCTTGGTTGTTTGTTCCAAACATAACGGACAACAGTATTAACTACAACAAAACAGAACATGAATACGTGGTGGATGAACGAATTAGTCTTAATTGTTCATGTGATAGCAACGCTTTAGGAAGGCAATCACCACTGTCTTTATTAGCACTTTTTAAAGAGCTTGAAAAGATAGAAGAACTGATACCACCTCAGAAACCCATGAACGGAGCGCAACAATGTACGGCACCTCCACGTAACGAAATGCTTGCACCACGTACGAGTCGTATCCATTCTGAAAATACGATGACGATCAATGCCTTCTCTGTCCTGGTACATTATTTCTGTTCTAAATTTTCCGAAAATTCTGCAAATTCATATCCAGTGGTGGGAATTTTAAACCTAATGAAACAAATATGATATATGGCAGGACTTATAGTCAATTATGATTATAGTGAATCAACATCAATCTGTACTTCGTGCATTTAACAGTGATAGGTTAATAGGATCACAGAACATTCCTTACGATGTCATTAAGAGGTAAAGGACGGGATGATCGAGTCAACATTTAGTTTCTATTCTTTGAAAGTAAGCACAAACCTATTCTGCTTATTAATTTCTGTGGCTTTGATACAGCGTTATGTGGATGTTTTAATTCGTGTTCTGTTCCGGAATGACAGGAATGGAAGTTGAAGTATCTGCAAGTGAAAACCTATATAATAGACAAGTTAAAACTCTTTTTTTATACCTAAAATTGGATACATCTGAAAGGTAGCATTTGATATAAAGTGCAATGAAATGACAGAAAAATGAGATGGAACATATTCTCAGTCAAGAAGAAGAGCAGACTTACACATAATTCAATTACTGCAAAATGGGGATTTTTTGTGCTGATGCACACAATTTGCAGCCGGTTAATGATTCGGAAAGTTATACTGCTTATAGTTTCAAAGTTTGAGTCTTCATCATTGCAGTTTCTGCAGAAATAGAATATTTGACAATTCTTCGCGAAACATCTTCCATTTTCCCACTTCATCTGCGTCGCACTGAAGTTACTTGATATGCAGAAGTGTAAGAAGGAAGGCAGTTACCATTATTGTAATCATTAAGTTGCTATTTTGGAGCTAAGATCAGAGATGAATGGATTGGACGAATTACTTTGAATATTAAGAACATTGGTGGGGGAGATTTTGATTATTCGAATTTAGGCAAACGTACTTTAACTTAAAATGACTTTTCTGGTGATTTTTCGGGAGATTTATTCAAATGTTGAAGGATGCAATATGTGACATGGCAGCAAGTATTGATGATGGTGAATCAAATGTTTCCGAGCACAGTAGCCACTCATCAATTGTAGAACGTTGTTCACCATCTACTAATGAGGCAAGTATTTTTTTGTGGTGGAAGTGAAAAGGAAAATATGATTTAGTGATTCTAAATATTCAAGGATAACTGTCTGTACGTAATAAGTGAACTGAATTTAGAATTGTATCTCTCTTAAGATTCCTAGAACTTATGATTGAAAGTAATTCCTTCACAAATTGTTGAAGCAGGTTTAATTTTATCATTTTATAGAACCAAAGACTTCGGCCACAGATACCGCCGCAATCGCCGTCTCCAGCAAGCGAACGTTATCGTGCTTCCCAAGCGGGAAATTTTTCACAGCTTTCGCCGCTCGATATTGCGCGCCAACGTCTTGCGGTTCATTTTGTGTTTGGAATTTTTGCGTAATATTTAGTGAGTTGAGCAGTGACATAATATGTAAGAATATTTAGTTAAAAAGCAAAAATCTGAAAGGAGCTAGAAAAAAAAAGAATTAAAGGATACAAAAAAAAAAAAAAAAAAGAAATTAATAAGTTAAAAAGTTATCACTTATGTAAACATGCAAATTACGATAATTGTTATAAAAAACGTAATTTCGTACAGAATGATGGTTCACGTTTTCAGCAGCAAGCGCCGATGAGCAATCCTACAGATATCTTTGAATTTGATGATCCACCTCGTATGAACTCAGCAGGTTCGATGGGAACACCAGCTCAACAGTTTCATTTTCCAGAAGCAGGACAAAGTCCATATCCTTTTGCAGCTGTGCAAAGTACGAGAGGTCCATTGAGTGCTCAGCCGACTCTGAAGCGGCGAGGTCGAGGTCGTAAGGCAGGAAATGTAGGTGACCGGATGTTGGATCCTGCTCGACCAATTCTTGATCAGAATACTGGTTTGATGTTTCGTGGTATGAATATTCCGACTCGCAAGCCTCGAGGTAATGTATTTTTTGATTGGGAAATACATTTAAGATCATTTGGAATGTAATGTTTATGTCAGTTTCTAGTGTTCCTATGAAATCCTAACTATAAAATTAGGGTTAGTTTTTGACATGAAAAAAATTTCTATTTTATAGGGACTTCGACAGCGAGGCGTCCTCGAAGACCACGTAAAGCTGCTCATATGCCTGCGTCTCCTGCACATTCACATCAATTTGCCTTAAATCGCCCTATGTTACAACGTTCGTTCTCTGAAATGCCAGTTTATCCTTCACAAATGCCACCTGGTAATGAAAACACTTGGAATTATTTATTAGAATAAAGTTAATGGATTTTTATTTCGACATTAAATCTTTTATTACGAATTACCAAATTCAAGAGTTAAACAACAATTAACGATCTGATTAGTGAAATAAAACTAATACTGTTGTAGCAAAATAATGCTTTATAAAATCTGCTTGAAGTTATTCGGCGAATTCTCTCCTGAATGCTAAATATAAAATTGTAAAAATTATTGAACTTTGTGTAGTCGAAAATTTTTGAACTTATTAGTTATATTACCTTTTTCTTTTTTTTTCTCTTTTTTAATCAACTCATCAGAAATCATTTTCTTCATTTTTAGTCAGCTTGTCGCAAGAAAACCGATCAGAAGCATCTGAATTCGATGGAACTGAAGAATCATCCGATGATGAAACTGACCCACCGCCTCCTGTCTGTACTACTGCCATACCGCAGCCGTCATCTCAGCTTACTGTGAGTAGCAGTGCTACGGTGCCACAGACAACCGTTGTCGGAAATCTTTCATCTTCATCGGCAACTTTACCAATGGTTAATAAGTGTTCGTCCTTAACTACCGCTTCATGTCTTCCATCCATTCCATCCAGGTATATTCCATTCGTGTGTGTCTCAGAAGTTTAGTATTCATGGAAAGTTTTTTTTATGATTTTACTTATCTTCGACTGTATAAAAGAAAGCATGCGTCATTTTATGAGAGTCATATCGCGTTGTATGATTTTATAAATTTTCGAAAATTGAAAATTTTTCAAAATTTATAAACACTTTTTTCTTATCTCTTCCATCAACAATATTTCCGTTCCCATAAAATGAGACGTTCCAGTGATTTATTGTATCCATATTTTAATTTATTCTTTCTTCCTTTTTTCATTTTACTGACTGTATCATTTTCAGTTTATTTTTACCTTAATTTTTGGGTATTTGAAGAATGAATTATAACCATGCATTAGTTTGAATAATAATGGTTGTTTGGATAATTTAACGCTTTTTTTTTTTCGATGCTTAATATTTTGATTTTGTCTTATGCTGAAAATGTACTTTGTTTTATTTCTGAAACATAATAATTTTTGGACTTTTTTATGTTTCTGTTTTCAGTGCTCCAGCAGCGGAACTTACACCTCCAACTAGTTCATCTCCAACATCAACCAGTAACAGTTCAATGCAATCAGCGGCACTCTTAGCCCATAAAGCGCGCAAAGGAAGTCTGGAAGCTGTTGTAGGAAAGTTACACTGTAAAACAGCACCGGCAAGCAGTAGCAGTTCGACAACATCAAATCCGTATTTGGCCTCAGATTTATATGACGATGAATCGGAACCAGTTAGTAAACCGCCTGAGGTGATGCTTTTTAAGTTTTATCTGAATCCGACTGAAACGGAAAAAAATATTTCATATTGGGAATTTTTTATTTCACGTTTTGGCATTTTAGCGTGTTTTAGAAATAAATAATTTATGCGCACACAATAACACTAAATTCTTTTCGTCATAGGCATCAAAAAAAAGAAAAAAAAAATTGATTCCGCTTCCCCGTGCTTTAGGCCATAATACACGTCGAAAAAATGAGTGTAGCATCATGAAAATATACCATTTCTTTCTTGATGGTTGACAATGTAGAAGAAAAAGTAATGAAAACTAATATGTTACTGAAAATTTTACATCTGATTTGCATAATGATTGATTATACTGCAGCCAGTTCCTGCTAAGCGTGATAGTCCATCATTATCAACATCATCTCCTGGGGCACGAATGTCACCAAATCTGGCAAAGATGAATGCAGAACAACCGGGTTATGGTTCAGAGTTGAAAATAATGATTAAATTGAAACAGCAAGCATCTACGCGACCATCTACTGGACCATCGCAGTCTTCATCGGGTGGTGTGCCACCGTTAGTGCATTTGATTTTGTCCCTAATTTATTTAGAGCTTTTTGCTTAAATTATAAATTTGTTTGCTTCTTAACAATTTGTTTCTTATTATTACCGGTTCCATCCCCAAAATTTATGTCCTGACCAGGTCTATGCGCTTGGTTGGCCAGCCTCCTTCTTCATCAAGATCAAAGGAAGAAAAAGCACTGTTACGACAAAAACAGTTGAAAGAGAAAAATCGATCTGCCCCAGATGAACGTGCTCGGAAGGCGGGTAAAAGAGAGCGTAAGGGTGAACTTAGTAGTAGCAGTAGTAAGGTATGTTGTTAAATTGAACGAACTTTGATATAACTGTATTCCGATGCTACAAAATATTTCTTGCATCTTAGTGACACAAAAGAAATCACTTCTAAACTCAAAAGTATTAACACAATAAAGTTGGAGAAAATCAGTTCTGTACAGACTTATTGATTCTTTCAGAAGCTGAAACTGGATCGACCATTAAGTGAGCAGAAAACAGCGACAATTTCACCAAAAGTTGAATTTCCACAGGCACTTGCATTTGCTAGCCTGAAAAATTTTAAGATACCAAAGGTACCAAAGTGTTTTTCAAAATGAAAAAGGAGTGCCTTAAAACTAGTACTATTTTTAATGGTGTAAAAAATTATGCAATCATATAATTTAGATGGGTAATGCAAGTTATATAAGGCGTATTAAAAAGGGAATAAACTTTGCTACAGCAACTTTTCAAGTTTGATTATTGTATAATAATAATAAATGTATATCTTGAACTTTATTTATTGCAATGAACATTTTACAAATTTGGTTCATTTACATGAGGAATTGAAATTTATGTTTCTGATCCGTTTTAGTTTTTACTTAATGTAGAAAATGAATTAGGTAATGGAAAATGAAAAATGTGAAAGCCCGACGCCAACAACAACAACAACACCAGCTGTAGCTACCCCATCATCTTCCGGTGCGCATTTAAACGTTGGTCAAAGTTTGAGCTCTTCAACGATGCAAGTAGTTTCTTCAACATCATTATCAGCAGCAACAACAGCAACCACAGTAACGGCTACATCGTCGTCTTCATCTGCTGGAACATCTTCGATATTTCCACCTAAACCGAAATCAATTCTGAAATCACCAGCTGAGCCACCACCATCACTTTTTCGAGGAATGGGTGGTATGCCGCCAATGTTACCCGGCCGACGACCATTGCTACCCGATCCACGAAATGTAATGCATCATCCACCAAGGTTAGAGCAAATCTTGTTGGCTGCATAGTAGTGCAGTTAAGATTCCTTAGAAATTTAGCGTATATCCTAAGATTTTGTCAAGGATCCATTTTAATCTGTTGAATAATTGAACTATTGGTGATTTGGACCATTGCTGATGATGTTGTGATCATATATATGATCATGTCTTCCAACTTCAAGCAAATTGAAGCTGTGGATTTTGATTGGTTGAAAATGGTGCGTATTGAAATTTTAGTAAACTGAGGTGGTAGTTGTGTTTTGACCTATATTTTTCTTTTTGTAGTTTTCCCTTTGAAGCTGCCTGATATTGTTACGGCGCAAGATTATCAGTACTCGTCTACTGCTTTGATTTTTGATCCAGCGGCACTGAGACGGGAATTGAATAGTTCGCACCAAGTAACTCACTTATACTTGAAATTGATTTTCTTTCCGAGTGATTTCACAGATTTAGAAGCGGTAGATATATACTGTAAGATAGCTTGTTTCCTGAAAGATTGACAATTGCAGAAATCAATTTAGACCGCTGGTAGCTCTACCTCGAATGATACCGTCAGTGTTGAGTGGTGCTAATTTCATGCCACCACCTTCATCATCAGGCCGTTGGATGGCACTAGCACCACAACGACAACCATCACCTAGGAGTTCACCATCTGAGCAGTCTGCTCCTAGTTCCGGTTTGTCCGAAACAGCTACAGCTATGTCGAAAATGCAAGACAGTCCGACGGAGGCTCTGAAAATTGTTGCTGACGAGGAATAAACTAAAGACACAAATTTTTCAATTTATGATTTTATTGGCTCTGCATTTCTAGAAATTTTAATGTACATAATGTAATAACTACCTTCTATATTGCATTTCTAAAATATTACAGGTAATTTAAAGTATAAACACGGAATCGGTATTATCCTGAAGTTACTGCCGGTTTATTTATTACATTGGGTTTATTTGGTTGATAATTGCTACAATTATCACGGATTTCTTGCTTGTTTTCATTGTTGTCTGAAGAGATAAAAGCGAGAAAAATTAAAGTGGAGAGATTAAAGCTTTTGATGTTTCTGCAAAAAAATAGCAGGTTATTTTTTAATTGGGGATATTAGTCTGAAACATGTATATCTTTATTTCGCAACATCTTCCAAATTTTAATCTTCATTTGATATTCGATATGGATGAGAAGTAGTCTTTTTTCTACTCAAATATGCTTTCTAACAAGAGTATAAATGTGTTATTGTTTGACTTATATGTTTGTTGTATGGATTATAAGAATAAAATATTTTGTTTCATAACATTTTGTTATATATATATATATATGCTTTGTAGTGATGATTGGCTTGCGGAAAGCATTTGATCTAAAAAAAAATAATATAACATGACTTTTCCTTCCATTCGGAAATCATTGGCTTATTTTCGTCGTTGTTAAAAAAAATTGTATGTTGTTTCAAATTAAAAGTTTGACTTGCTCAAAAGGCCTAGGTAAATGTTGTTTCGAATTGAGAGTGCTTCTGGTTTAGTGCACTAATAAAGTAAGAATGATATGCAAGGAAAGAGCTGAAAATTATTTCTGTGATTGACCTTTATTCCCGTATTATTTATTATTGACTATTTGATTCGAAAAGTGCTTGTACAATTTGTTGTTATTCTCTCTTTTTTGCATTAAAATAATTCAGTCTATTCATTTCTACTTATTAAAAGTCCAACGATCGAAGTGAAATTCCTAATGAATCTGATGAATTGGTAATGTACAATAAATATATTGACATACCGGTTTTGCTTATTTTCAGTTTAGGCAGAGCTAAATTTCTTCTGTTATGTTACAAATTTTATTTAATACTTTTGTAATCTTTTCTAACATTTCATTCACTTTTTATTTCTCTGTCTTATATGATATTATCTCTGAAATTTGTTTGAATTTTTGCATGTTTGAATTCAGTAATTTTATTCTATTAGTCATACTTAATTTTCTTTGTTGAATAAATTTCAAAATTACTGAAAAACTGATGTAGTTTGCTTATGGAGGTTGAAAACATAATCAAATTATATCATTACATCTCGAAATTTCTCATTGTTATCGATGATCACTTGTTAATTCTTTTTTTATGCATAGAAAATACCATTGCAAATTTTCAATAATTTAAAAAGTGGAAGAATAGTGTAAATAAATTTACTTATATCATTTACTGATTCATCACTCATTTTGTCTGGTTGGTCTTCTGTTTACTTATATTTTCTCTTCATATTTATTCATTCTGTCAATGAGTAAGTAAGTGAATGATAATTTACATCTTTATGTGTTCCATATTTTCATATTATCAGTAAGATATAAGATGAAACTGTTGTTGTTATTCATGAGTTTAAAAGTTAATTATTACTTGATGATATTTCATGAAATTCGCTTATTCTTTTTAAAATTAAATAATATTCAATTCTAAGGAAGGAAAACATAAAGGTAAGAAGGAGAAAAAGAAAAGTGCAAGTAAATTTTCAGACTTATGTTTCACTCGGAAAGTTACTTCATGACGTTTTTCAATATTGATTGATTAGTCATCTACCTTCGTTTTTTAAGACAATTTCTTTTTCCGCATTTCCCGACAAGTGTGCTGTAATACCGTATGATAATTGAAGTATTTTTAAAATGAACTGAAGATAAGGACTGTTTGTATGATAATTAAGATTTAATTTATTGAATTTTAAAATGTAGATTTCTTAACTTTTGTAAGAAATAATTCAATATTATTATCAGGGATAATACAATATGAAATTTCTCTTTGATAATTTGAATAACCATTGGTTGTGTCGTAATACCATATGATAAGATAAGAAAGTGAAACATATTGTAATTTAAAGAGAGAATTAAATGATAAGCAAATATGAATGACCAAATATTTCTTCACTTCTAAATTTCAATGAATTTCTAGCAATCAATCAGTCAATCAATCAATCATGCCTATATGAAATATTATCAATCATTTCAGAACATTAAAGAGCAAATGATATGTTTGTTATAATTTGAAAGATTGGCATATATCATTTTATTAATAACGATTAGTGATTAGAGAAGAGAGGACAAAATAAGTATTGTTGACAGTATCGTTTACAATGTTTTAATTACCTAAAAATTTCACTGTATCTGGTTGGAAGAAGAAAAGTATCCAAAGTGTAGAATTTAATATGAATTTAAAAAGTTTATTATTGATAAAGATGATTAGATGATAAGATAAAGTAAAGTAAGATATTTTCTTTTGCATCATTCTCATCCTATTTTATTATAGATAACTTTTATGAATGAATTCTGAGCTTATTTTTTCTCAACTTTACTTTTTTTTCCTCTCAAATAAATCAATAATAAGACATACATTGTCAGCTGTTCTTCTATCCTATCATTTTTTCTTTCTCTCTCTCTCTCTCTCTCTTTCCCTCTCTCTCTCCTTGCTTGTTTCTTTGTTTATTTTATCAAAGATCTGATTGAGTTAGCTTCCTCCTTCCTATACAAATCTCTTCTTGCCCAAGGCTTTTTATCCTTTTGCTCGAAGCTTTCTTCAAATTTCTATTCCGTTTTTTTTTTTTTTTCAACCCAATTCCTTCGAATATTTTTATAACTTTGTTGATGAAGGGGAGAGAGAGAGAGAGAGACGGACAAAGTAGAGAGAGGGAAAGGAAGAGAGAGAGAGAGAGAGAGTCATTTATGTTATTTAAAAGTTCTCAATCGATCATTTCTTCTTTCATTTTTTTTCCCGCAAAAGTTCAAACTGGTTATCAATCTTTTTTTTTTGCCCTAATATTACAGTGTCACTCTCCGTTCTCTATCATATCTTCTCTTTCTCTTTCCCATATTGTTTGTATATATATGTATATGATATGACTAATATCCTTCATCTTGTACTATTCTCCTTACTTATCTCTAAACTTCCCTCTCCTACTCTTCCCTTCCTTAACTTAAAGAGAAAATCAATCCCTCCCTCCCTCTCTCTCTCCCTCTCTCTCTCGTACATCTATAACTACCCATACGGAATCGTTAACAACTATTGCTGTTGTGTGTGTTGTTGTTGCTCGTTTGCGTATAGACGTTTAATACGAGGTAGTTGGGTGTTCGCAACGTGTGCATGTGTATGTGTATGTGCGTGTATATGTATGTGCGTGTATGTGTATGTGCGTGTATGTATATATGTGTGTGTGTATGTATGTGTGTGTGTGTATATTTTTGTACATATATGGGCATTAGTCAGAGAAGAAGGCTATTTAAGTGAGAATATAAGGTAATATGAGGAAGGGAGGAGAATGTGGGAAGTTTTGTTGTTGTGGAGATTAGTTGAAGGGTTGGATATGTGTGTGTGATACGTCATCAAGGCAAAACTTTCTTGTCATCAAGGCAAAACTTTCTTGTCATCAAGGCAAAACTTTCTTGTCATCAAGGCAAAACTTTCTTGTCATCAAGGCAAAACTTTCTTTGTCACCTTTTGGATTCATTTAAAAAAATCTTTTTCTTTTGATAATTTTGATATTATAATTAATATTATAAAAACTTATAATTTTGCATATGATATATGTATGTATATTGAATATTTATTTATTATTTTTTATCATTTATGCATTTTTTTCACTTGTATATCAGATAAGAATATTAAAAATTCGAGTATATATTATTAATTAGAATTTACTTAAATATTACGAATTGTTTAAGCTTTTTTTTAAACATTATTTATTCTTTTTTTCATTATTACTTCAATTTTTTTTTTCTTTTTAGTTTTCATTTTGTATTTTTTTTGCTGATTATTTTTTTTTTTTTTTTTTTTTTTTTTTTTTTGCATTCACTGTTAGAAATGTTAAATTTGTTGAAATCCTATTGTTGTTGTTTTTTTTTTTTTCAGTTCCATAATATTCTGTTCTATTTTTTGCCCTTTTTTCTCCCTCTCCTTAGTAACCATTTCTCTATTTCTATAATTATAATTAAGAATTAAAGCAAAGTATTTTATAATTAAATTGATCATAATATGTTTTTCTCTTTATATTCCTTGAAATTGTTTACTTCGGTTCCATTCAACTTTTCCTTTTCCAGTCTTTTCAGTTGTTGCTCGTAATGAATATCTTCTAATAATTTGTAAGGCATAATAAGAATTTCGCGTTATTGATTTACTTCAAATTATATCATTTCCGATTTTTTATTCTTAGATTTAAATAATTTCATTTCCGATTTTTTATTCTTAGATTTAAATAATTTCATTTATTCGCATTTTATGTCAATTTTAGAACTTTTCAACAGAAATTTGTCATCTTTCTATCGGTTTCCTCTATCTCATCGATCTGTAATTTTGTGATAATTGTGATAAGAATAATGATAATGATGATTGATGATAATAATGAGGAAGATAATGATGGTAATGGTGATGATGCTGATGATAATAATGATGGTGATAATGATACTACAGCACTTACTGCATATGCAGCAAGGACAATGATTAAAGAAAACTGAAAGTTTTAGTTTGAAAAGATAACGTAAGTAGATATACTTCTAGTACTTTTCTTTCACTGCTAAAGATGATTATTGTAGCAGTTTGATAAAAATACTTCAATCTCTCTTACAGTTATGACTGAGAGATATATGTTAGACTTATTTAGATCTTATATAAACTTATATAATACCACTCATTTATGCTTTTTTTTTAAAATAGTAGCCAGTTATCTTATCAGTTGCTGTGTTTGTTCTTCCATTTGTTATATCATTCCGTTATATAAATGTATGCAATCAAATTTTTACATAATTGTAACAACAAATTTTTTTCTTTTTTAGTATTTAACTAATATTTAGATTAGTTTGATACTGATTATTGTAAAGAATGGGAAATGGATAGGTTTTCACAATTCTCCTACAATCGTTGATCGTTTTTCAACTCGGTTTTTGTTATATGATTTTGGGGATTCTTTTTTTTATAGCAATTTATTTTCATTTCATTTATTCTAGTTGTATGCATCATTTTGTAATACTCTCCATTTCTTTGCTTATATTATAGTATAGATAACTTTGTATGAGTGATAAGGAAAGAAAATGATAAAAATTCTTATGTCAGCAATCCGAATACCTGAGAGGGATACGAGCACAGCTGTTGTGAGTTAAAAGAAAGATTTTTCTTAAGTTTTTTTTTGTCTGCTTTTCTTCTTTTTTTTTCATCTGTTATTAATGTAGCTTAGCAGGGTTAGTCTCTTTGAAATGATAATGTTAACTAGGTTATTGCCGGTTTACTGAACGATGTATGTTAACCTTGTTTGGCTAAGTGATGAAGTTAGCTTATAGTTTTGTTCCACCAAACTTCGCTATAAATTCCGAATTTCTTGTGTTTGGTCAGCTGTTAAAGAAATGTTATATTTATATTATTGTTACTATAGCTCGAAACCACATTAATTCGTTATTAGCCATTTGCAGGTTAACTCTTATATTTCTTTCTGCCCAATCCGTTTGTATGTTCTTTACTATTTGTTATTTTGATAACTATCAGCATATCTTGGGCATTGCCTTCATTTTCATATCAGAAAATAAGGATAGACAACTTTTTTGTCCATAGTTTATTTTATATTATGCATGTCATATATTTGCATAATTGTATTATGTAGCTGGCTGTTATTTTTTCTTTCTTTTGCATTAATACTTAAGTTTGCTTTCATTTCTCTCATTTCATTCGTTATCTTTTTCTCGCATACAGCCTTAGTCTTATTTGCTTCTCTAAAGATCTCATATTGCAGCTGTTTACACTATATATTTGTGCTTATCAGTTATTAGAACATTTTGCTTTTTAAAAAATCATTTGTATGTTTGTGAATGGAAAGATTTTAATTTGAATTTGCTTAAAAGCAAATTATATTTTGTTGGAAGCAAATTTCTTTATGCTGTTTTCTTAATATATATATTTTTGTTTGCTTGATTTTAACTGGTGGTAAGGCAGACTATTTCTAAAATTTTCACCTGATTTCGACACTTGACCGTATTTTTTGGTTGCCCAATTTTCTTTAGTAATTTGATATCATAAAAATTATGATAAATGTGTTTTTACAAATTTCTGCAATGAATTTCATATAAGCTTGCGTTGTATTATTGTGTGAAAACATAGGATATAATCGGTATTTGTTATTACAGAAAATGACTTCCTACTCTCAGTTTCTAACAGATGCGCAGAAGGATGAATTGCGACAAATCGCTAATCAAATTGTAACACCTGGTAAAGGTATTCTTGCTGCGGATGAGAGTACTGGTATGTAAAAAGTTCATCTTTTTCTCTCTTTTTTTTTTTTTTTTTTTTTTTGATATCATTAACAATAAAAACAGTGGTGGGTAAGCGCTAATATGGAAAGCATTGGTTTTGCTATTTTCGCTTTCCAGAATAGAGTGAAAGAAAAGATGCAGGACTGGCTATGCGATAAAGGTAAAAGAGACAAGAAAGATCTCTTTTCAAATTTATCATCTATTTAAGGAAGCATGGACAAAAAACTGAAGCCAATTGGGCTTGAAAATGTTGAAGAAAATCGACGTTTGTATCGTCAGGTCTATTTCTTGATTTATTTTTAAAAAATTTATAGGTTTAATGTATGTGCCTGTGACATTAGAGTCATGTTACATGTTAAATTTTTTTTTTTTTTGAGGTATGGAAACTATTTCTAAAATGAGAAGGAAATCTTTCAGCTTCTTTTCACAGCTGGTGATGAAATGAGTAAGTATATTTCTGGTGTTATTATGTTTCATGAGACATTCTACCAGAAAGCAGATGATGGTACACCATTTGTTCAAGTCCTACAAAAGAAGGGTATTCTCCCAGGCATCAAAGTAAGTTAACTTTTTTCTTTTTTAAAATAAGGGAATATTGGATATTCGAGATAGTTACGGAAAATTTTTAGTACTGTTTCACTCCTATTAATGATAGAAATAAACAATTTAATTGAATGTAATGACTTAATGGGCGTGTTTTGAAAAATTAGTAATTGATTATATATGGCGTCCATTTTCCCTATTAATATATGCAGTCAGATAAGTCTGTATTAGTCCGTTGCTGTACCATATTGGAATTATTCAGTTTAGTTCACTTAAGTAAGAATTTAATGATCATAGCGATCTTTTGATTAATTGTATCTTGTTTAGGTTGATAAAGGTGTTATTCCAATGGCAGGCACTGTTGGTGAAGGTACCACGCAAGGCTTAGATGATTTGAACAACCGATGTGCCCAGTACAAGAAGGTCATTTTTATATTATATAAAGCTCTTTCAATTGATAGAGAGAATTTTTTTTTTCGACAAATTTTGCTGCAATTCTAGATTTTTTCTAAGTCTATTTTTTTCCTGTTTTTCAAATTCAGTTTTATAGGTGATGGCTCGTTATACGTCACCACATTTAATCTGCTATTTACCTCAATCCTTTTTAAATATAGAGAGTTAACAAGGATTGTGAAATATATGATTGGCATTAATTCGAAGAAAATCAATTAGTTTTAGGATGGTGCACAGTTTGCTAAATGGCGCTGCGTGCATAAAATTGGTGCAACAACACCTAGCCATATGGCTCTGGTTGAAATTGCTGAAGTAGGCATTTTTAATCATCTGGGTTTTGTTTTTCATTTCCTTATCTTCGCTAATGAATTATTCAAATTATATGCCGGAAAACAAAGATACTGTTTTTTTTTCTTTTTTTAAACAGTTTTTTGTGCTATCCGTAGAACATACGGTTTTTGCGATATATTTCACTGCAAATTTGGTTTTTTTTACTAAGCTTTTTTTTTTCTGTTTCTCAAATTCACTTTTATAGGTTTTGGCTCGTTATGCTTCAATCTGCCAGCAGCATGGTTTGGTACCAATTGTAGAACCCGAAACTTTGCCCGATGGTGAACATGATCTTCATCGATGTCAGAAGGTCACAGAACTTGTCCTGTCATATACGTACAAGGCGCTGATTGATCATCATGTTTACTTGGAGGGGACATTACTGAAACCAAATATGTGTATGCCAGGTAGATTATTTGAAATTTATTACAAGAAAACAAGACATAATACTACGACTAATAAATGTAGCAGTAAAAATAATGTAAGTAAAATGAAATTTTCCACTAGAGAATGATCACTAAAGTAGAATGAATTAGTCAAGAGTGTATTTTTCAGGTATGCAATACAAGGGACAATGTTCACATGAAGATATTGCACGAGCCACCGTTACTGCTCTTCAGCGCACGGTTCCAGTGGCTGTACCGGGTATCGTCTTCCTTTCGGGCGGTCAGTCTGAGGAAGATGCGACACTTAATTTGAATGCGATCAATCAGTTTCCAGTATATTTTTATTTTCTCTAATGATTTTTTAGAGTGAAATGAAAGTTGCTGCTAATATAATTCTGTTATTAACTGAGAGAAGATATGGTTTGTGACCATATGTAAAAATGGGTCATCAGTTCGCACCAATCGGAGATGAGTGCGATTATTTCGATGTTGTGGAATTTTTATTTAGATGACCATTTGAACTTCTAGAAAATTTGACATAGATGTGATTGTAATCCAGTCTACCTTGTATTGTGCAATTTACAGACAGAAGAGTTAGTCATCTATTCTTTTTGTTTTCAGGGTAAAAAGCCGTGGGCTTTGACCTTCAGTTACGGTCGAGCATTGCAAGCATCAGCTCTTGCAGCCTGGGGTGGTAAATTGGAAAACATTCAAGCTGCCAAAGAAGCATTCTTGAAACGTGCACAGGCAAATTCGCTCGCACAATTGGGTAAATATGCCGGAGGTGCAGGTTCTGGTGCAGCAGCACAAAATCTCTATGTTGCTAATCATGCGTACTAGATAGTCCATCGTCAGACCCTAATATCCACTTCTTTCTATGTTAAATATAGTTAAAAGGAAGGATGAAAAGGATAATATTTATTATTTCGATCTCCTGCATTGATAATTCATGAATTCTCGTAGTTTCCGTTGTGTCATAATTTATTATTCGTAAATTAATTCTTACTTACTTTTCATGGGAACGTTTTGAGTAGAAATTATCAAAGTTAGATTTCATAATATGTGATTAATTCGTCGACTGTGACGATATATTTTTGCTGCTGAACTAATAAATACCAACAATTAGTAATCTTATTAATAAATTGTAGTCTTTATCTTTTGTGTTTTTTGCTTTACCTACAAAACGCACTGAACAAAGGCTTACATAACAATTCCACATTTGTAAAAGGTGAATATAGTCAAGTCCAAAAAAATGTGTGATGAATTACTTGATAGCAGATACTGAGAGAAAAACTTCCCATATCTTCACATACGATTTACCCGTTTGTGTATTTAAATATTACCTTAATTGTCTCAAACTAATTATCCCTCAATGATTCGTCACGATGAATTGTTGTCATTACACTTCCCGTTGTGCTGGGGCAGGTAAAGGTGTAATATCACTACACAACTATAGATTTGGTAGTTTTCCGTACATCTGTTTTCGAATTTTATGGTTTTAAAACTGATTAGCTAGCCCTCAACATTATAATGACACTATCAGTGAATGGAGAAATGTTAGTCTTCAATAAACTGGACGAGTTTGAAAGATTTCTCTGAAGCAAAGAAAAATATCTAAGAGTGGGAAAAATTTTCGAGATGCGCTGAAGACTATCAAAGAATTTTTCGCTGAATCGGATTACATAAAGTTCTCGAAATGCTAAAATTTGAAGTTTGGAATTAACGGCGAAGTACGGTTGTCTCAACCTGAATGATCTTTAACAATCGATTGGTGTGAAGCTACTTTATACTTTTTGATAAAACTTCCATTTATATAAGAGCAAAAATTTGAATCGAGCAGTTATCAGTTAAAAGTTAACCAAAAACTACGATTATCTCTACTTGAACAACTATCTAATGTCCGTATGGAAGTTACTCAAATAATCCTTACTTTACTTTTATCATTAACATTTGCACATGAAATTGTTCATCTGCTTTTTTTTTTTTTTTTAAATCAGTAATTTGATTAACGAATTTGATTTGGACTTAGAAAACGAAATGCCATAATGTTAAAGTTATCTTCCTCCAACATTATTATCTCATCTTTTACAGTTTATCTGATTATTGGAAAGCATTTTTGTTAATTTAGTAAAAATGAATTGAACTTTTTAGCACAATTTATGCATACTTTTCCAGTAATTAATGAGTTATTTGATCGAATTAAGTGCGAAAACATTTGTCATATGATCAGACTATTTCAATTATTAAACTTGAGATGCTGTTTAAATGTTAAAATTGAAGTAAAAAATTTATTAAAATCGAAGTTTGTTTTTTTTTTTCCGCATTACATTGTTATTTTTGACTTGTTTCAATATATACTTTCAATTCCGGTTTAAATATATACCTCATGGAATCGGATTAGATTCATACAAATTGCATGACATTGATGTGTATGTTTAGTAGACATCGGAAATGTCATCCGATTATGCCACAACGTATAATCGGATTAGTAGGAAATGGATGCGATTTCTTTGACATTCATTTAATTTATTTGAATTAATAAATTGAGCATACGAAGTTTGACCCTTTTTATTTGTGACAGTTTCAACAAAAACGGATGATATAATCAAAATCTTTATTGACATATCACTGATAAGCAAATTCCTTCCCTTTATCAGCATCGAGCGTTGATAAAAAAGAAAAATTATTAACAAATGAAACAATAAATAAATGCATGTAAATATATTGAATATCAGGAAAATTGTTATCTTATAATATTTAATTACCTTTGGTTAATTTTGAATAAAGAAAGTAACTTTTTCAATTTCTTTTCTCCCCAAAAAAAAAAAAAAAAAAAAAATATCAAATTTGAATCTTATAGTTTTAAATTTTATTCCAACACAATAAATTCTTAATTTCTGCTTTTTTCTTTTCTATATTATCAATTAATTCCATTTTGGTAAAATGTCGGACAAAGAATTATTAGAGTGACAGAAGTTAAAACGATTTCTTTTTATATTAAATAATTAAGAATGAACAGATTAATTCATTGATGGTATAACTAGCTGATATTCTAATTCTTCTTCATTAATTTATAATTTTTTTTTTTTTCTATATTGAAATTGTTTATAAAATTGTTTATCTTATTCCAATCAATTTGAAGAAATGAAATTGCAAATACAAATTGCAATTCAATTCCTACATCGTTTCTATTTTTTCTCCTTTTTTTTAAAAATTTCGAATTATTATTAAATCACAATTCATTAAATGTTATCGAATTGATAAATGACTCCTACCATTTTTTATATTTCGTTTAAATTTTTGTCATCATTTTCAAGAATTCTTTTTCAGTTTCCAACTTTTCAAAGGTTTTTTTTTTTTTCTGCTTACATTTATATTTGACTTTCTTTGTTTCTTGAAATTTCTTATTCTGTCATATATGCTTTATCATACAGCTCCTTCTAAAACAGTTTGGTTGTTTATTTATTTATTTGTTTATTTTATTTGCGTTCTTTTTCAGTCATCTCTCCAACTTTTTAAAGGTTTTCTTTTCTGCTCACATCTAAATGTCAAGGGAGTAAGAAAGTTAAAGAAAGCTAAATGAAATGATAATAATAAAGCAGTGGAAGAGTTTTTGTAAGAATCAAAAATAAAATTATTCAAATATTAATTGTTTTGCTTTTTTTAATAAAACTATTTATTTCAATTAGAAAAACCGAAATAATTTTATGATATATTTGAATTAATTTTTGTATTGAATTCTACATTTTTTTCTTTTTTAATTCATAGACTAAAACATTGTCTTATTTGAATTTTTCGTAAACAAATAGAAATCAATTTCAATTTTATATTTGAATTCAACATTCAATCTTTCAATTATAACTAAGCTTACATGCATTGAACATGTTGTGCTAAATATTACAAACTGTTTTTTAACAAAGATTGCTTGATATATTGTAAATTTAAATTACTTTTATTTTTATTGTTAATCATTTTTCGGTCACATTTTTGACAGTTAAAAGGTTTGTACGTTCTTTGTTCAACTTACTTTTTTTATTATAAAAAGCTAAATTTAATATCAATCGCAGTGAATGTTCACCATCCGATGGTGACAATTTTCCTTTGTCATTACGCTTTGTTGTAAGCAAATGCCTACTGTAATCTTTAGTGACAATAAGCTTCGATTCAGTTCATCACTTCCTCAACACTCTATCAATTTTTAATTAAACAACAACCTGCTGCAATCAATCTCAGTGATATTTCCCTAAAATAAAACTACTTGTGATACTTACTATTTTGATAATATCTCTTAACTCTTATGTAATCCTTATAACATCAATCAATAAAATGTTTATTCTCGACTATTCATTTTATGTCAACCAATCAACAATGAGAAAGATTTCATTGTCAGTCAGACAAAAACTAAAACTTCTCAACAGCGTCAGCAAACGAAAAAGAAAAAGTACAAATGAATTGAATGAGATATTTCCATTTTTTTATTTTTTAAAAGAAATAATCCATTGAAAGAAATATTTTCTCAATAAAGATAATCTGAAATTTTAATTTTAAGCTTTGTGAATTTTAAATACAAATGAAGCGATTAAAGAAAATGAAACGATTTTTGAACTTCATATGCACTTACTATTTAATTAATCCAAATAATAAATTTTGCATATTAAAAATAAATAAGATTATTATTATAAAATTCATTTAACAAATCGATCGAGATTATTTATGTAAACAAACAAACAAACAAATATATGTTTCAACAGATCGTCTACTTGAGTAAATTTACTGATAATTTACTTATGCACTTCCTATTTAATTAATCCAAATAATAAACTTTGCATATTACAAATAATTTGTCTAATATTTTCTGATCATTTGATATACATTCGTAGAACAATTTATTATTAATTGTTAATCATTTGATAATTCGCGGTGTTCGACCGAGATTTTCTCACTATGGCAAAACTCTCGTTTTGATCATAATTGATGCTATTTAAACTTTCAGCACTTTCCAAATTGCAAGAAGATCAAATATTCCATCTATTTCTTCTTCCCTTTTCCAAGCAAAACTTTCCTCATTCGAATTAATCTCCGAGGCTTAGAAGAACATAAATTCATTATTAAGAAATTCAAATGAAATAATTCATTTTCAAATTTATTAGTCTCTTCTATTACAGAGCAAATAGTTTTCAGAGAAAGAAAAAGAAAAAAGTTTTTGGTTGATTGAATAGAGCACAAAATTTGAATAAAAAAATGATTTTTGTTTTTTTTTTTTTGTTGTAAAGAATATTTGTGTTTCGGTTCATTCCTTTCATCTAAGTCATATATTTCAATCTTATTTCCTTTTTTTTTTTTTTAAAGAAAATTTTTTTGTTTTGATGAAATGAAAATAATAAGAAAAATAGAGTTGGAATTTCATTCGTTTTTTTTTTTTTTTTATATTTAAAAATAAATTTTGCAATTAGTACCTTCTTCTTCTTCTTTTTTTGTAACTGTTAAGAAAACAACAGAAAGAGGAAAGTTTGTATTGAAAGAATGAATGGGCAGAAAAAAAAAAAGCAAAGAAAGAAAACGATGACGGATGATAAATCCGGAACTAAACAGGTTTACTTGTTCAAATTTCCATTATCACGCTTGGGTTGTTCAAATGAAACGTTTTGTGTGTGTGTGTGTGTGACAATGATATTAAGAGTTCCATTTTTTTTTTTTTTTTTTCCTGAAGGATTTATGTATTTTTCGGTTACACAGACAATAAAAGACAATCTCATTGCTATTACTTTTAATATTTACTTTTTAGTTAAATACTTTCGTAAAGTTAAAGAAAAAAAAAAAAAAGGAAAACTGTACAGTGT